ACTGGCTGTAATGTGTCTGTCTGTGGTTATGAGGCAGCAGTACTGGCTGTAATGTGGCTGTGTGTGGTTATGAGGCAGCAGTACTGGCTGTAATGTGGCTGTCTGTGGTTATGAGGCAGCAGTACTGGCTGTAATGCGTCTGTCTGTGGTTATGAGGCAGCAGTACTGGCTGTAATGTGGCTGTCTGTGGTTATGAGGCAGCAGTACTGGCTGTAATGTGTCTGTCTGTGGTTATGAGGCAGCCGGTAATGTGATCATAAAGCGACCCACGTTTATGAGTTTTGTGTTTGTTCGTTGATAATGGCAAAGCAATTACGCTCTGAATATTGCGATCTTTTTTTTACATGTTAAATTTTTTTGATCAATCACGTTTGCAACTTGGCTTATTGTGTATAGTGGCTCTGATTGGTCTTGCTTTTTCTTCCACTCTAGAGAGATGCAGTGACCATTTTATTTTAGTGATTTCCCTCCGGTCTTATATAAAGGTTAAGATATATATTGGTCGTTATATCTCAATCGAATGGCAACGGAATGAGTCTCTTAATACTGATGCTGGTTAGACACTGCTATGGTGTGTGTGTGTGTGTGTGGCTGAAGTCTAGACAATCGTCATCGTCGGTGCTGGTGCTGTTGTAGTTGCTGTTGTTCTTATTATTGATGTTCTTGCCATTATTGTTTTAGTTGTTGCTGCTGTTGCTGCTGTTGTCATTGCTGTTGTTGTGTTGTTGCTGTTGTCGTCGCTGCTGTTGCTGCTGCTGTTACTGCTGTTGTTGTTGGTGCTGCTGATGGCATTGCCGTTGTTATTGTTGCTGCTGCTACTTTTGCTGCTGCTGCTTTTGATGTTGCTTTTGTTGTTGGTGTTGTTGTTGCTGCTGTTGCTGTTGTTGTTGATTATGTTGCTGCTGCTTACTCCTGAGAAGCATGCTGGTGGTGGTGATAGTTCTGATAATGCATTAACATCGTTCGTAAGCTTTGCTGTGTGCTGTGTAAATGGTAAGACTGCATTCTTGGCTTCTCACAGATGCCGAGGGGTCCGTACATAGCGTCTGCCGGCGTTCCCGTGGCAACCAGCATCGCTGTCAAGGCAGCGGCGCCCGTCCGACGCCCGCACGAGATGTGGACGGAGCTGTGAGGCTGTTACATCTACTGGTTGCATGCCCCCTGCTGATGCTGGATGGAGCTGTGAGGCTGTTACATCTACTGCTTACACGCCCCCTGCTGATGCTGGATGGAGCTGTGAGGCTGTTACATCTACTGCTTACACGCCCTTCTGCTGATGCTGGATGGAGCTGTGAGGCTGTTACATCTACTGCTTACACGCCCCCTGCTGATGCTGGATGGAGCTGTGAGGCTGTTACATCTACTGCTTACACGCCCCCTGCTGATGCTGGATGGAGCTGTGGGGCTGTTACATCTACTGCTTACACGCCCTGCTGCTGGACCGACCTGTGGGGCTGTTACATCTACTGCTTACAAGCCCCCTGCTGGGAGTTGAAGCTCAAACCGCGACCGACTGTTGTTTTCGAAGAAAACACAGCCTCTGACCCTGCAGGAAGGTGACAACAACATTCGACCTCCTCTCTTTCTCTCTCTCTGCAACGCTCCCTGCGTGACGGAAAAACGCAGGGAAAGGCAAGAGCCGATTTCGTCGTGGGACACAGCCACAGTTGTAAATGTGGCGTGTGCAGTGTGCTAGACAAAAACACACAATGACACGCGAGCCTATATATATATACACACACCCTTGAACATATCCTGAAACATATCCATGACAATATATTATATATCTATATCTATATCTATATATATTATTTATATATCTATATATATGACATTCTATATATATATAGTTATAGCACACCGTTTGTTGTATTACGTGGCGCGCCACAATCACGCTTGATTAAAGGCGCATCACTGTATATGTAGGCATACGCGTAATTACGAGTGTTCACATTACCACTTATATGTGTGAGTGTTTGAGGTTCACTGAACAAAAGTTTTCTAACCTGATCACATATTCACAGGCATTGTTATATACGTCACGCCCCTCTATGGCAGCTATATTATATCTATGTATCAAGATCTAATCAATACCTATTCCTATTAGGTATTAATTACTCTTGATTGTATGTAAATGATGTGATTATACACTTTACCCTCGCATGGTGTAGGAAATTGGCAGCACGATATGTATCATAATATATATATATAAGATATATTGGATGGGGAATATGTGGGAGGCGTGTTCCGGTAGGTGATAGAGATTGAATGTGTTTGTGTGGCTTATGCATCAATATAGGCTGATATAGTATATCGCGTTATTGTGTAGCATAGCTTACTGAGCGTATAGCGCTCTGAGGTAATAGCTTGCACGGCATGGCGCAGCGCGAATTAATGATTAACCATACTAACCTCCTCTCTCACGCGCTTCTTTATCTCTCTCTCTCTCGGTTCTGCTCTCTCGTCTTCTGCTCTCTCTCTCTTCTCTCTCTATCTTTTTCTCCTTCTCTTCTCCCTTTCCTCAGTCTCTCTCATCTCTCTCTCCTCTCTCTCTCTCTCTCTCTCTCTCTCGTCTCATTTTCTTCTCCCTCTCTCTCTCTCCTCTTCTCTCTCCTCCTTTCATATTTCTCTGTCCCCGCCCTCTGCCACCTGTCTCTCTCTCACGTTACTATCTCTCTCTCGTTTGCACTGTGTATGATTGTGTGCGGTGCGTTGCGCGGCGGCGTCCTCCTAGTTATCATGCCGAAACAGTAGCTGAGCATATACTGAGCTTACGTGAGCTTCCCGCGCGGCAGCCTTGTGTTGTGATTATGTAGCGCAGAGAAGAAGTGCAGCGACGGAAGAAAGCCCGCACACACCGTCGTGATTATGATATATATATATATATATGTATATATGTATATATATATGTATATATACGGCCTTGCCCTGCCTCGCGTCGCCACTGTCTCTGTCTCAGTCTGTGTGTGTGTTGTCGGCTACCATCTGTCGTCGTTTATCATACCTGTATGGTCGCCGCTGCCGACGTCTCTGTCTGTGTGTGCGTCGGCTACCATGATCTATCATCGTCGTTTATCATACGTGTATGGTCGCCGCTGCCGACGTCGTCGTCGCTCGGCTGGTCACGTGAGTCACGTAGCAATCAGAGTGCGACGCACGACCGATGAACCGACGCCTGCTGGCGGCGGCAGTGGGAAAGGGGGAGCAGGGGAGGGGAGGCGGGGAAGGGGTGGGAACGGAGGAGGGAGAGGGTGGAAGCTAGGGCCGGAGTGGGGGTGGGGGAGCGGGGGCGTAGGGTGGCGGGAGAGGGAGTCGGAGCAAGGGCGGGGGCGGATAGGCGGGGAAAGGGGATTAGAAATAGGAGTGAGAGCGGGAGAAGGGAGCTGTGGAGGGGGTGGCAGCAAGCACGTCAGTGTAGAGAGGTGCATTAGTAAAGAGAAGCAAGCATTCACGTCAGAGACCGTGACGCATCCTTTTACAGACTCCCCCCCCCCTCCGACCCGACAGATGCAAACGTCCGCCATTGTTCACTTTCTCTCCCTTCCTCTCTGTCTCAATTATTGTTTTACACGCATGCATGTTTTATAGAGTCATGCATTATCGCGGGGTTAGTGATGGTGATGCATCCAGCAAAGCTATTAGGCCTAATGTCGAGTGTGACAATAGAAGCAACGGACGAGCACGCGCGCAGGTAGCGGCATTCGTGTTATCTTTTATACCTGTCCGTGATTACCTGCAGCGATATTGCGTTTGTCTATTGTCAGGTGAGCTGATGACGGCGCATGCGCAGTTCCGGGCAGGCGTTTCCGTTATGATAGCGAATATGTCCGTTGTCATGAATTCTGCATGCCCCCACCCCCACCCCCTCCTCCCCCACCTTATTTTAACTTTCGCAGTTTTTGCTCTTGCGTGCGAGTGTCTTTCAGTGTGTGTGTGTGTGTGTGTGTGTGTGTGTGTGTGTGTGTGTGTGTGTGTGTGTGTCCGCGCCGCGCCGCCATGTGCGCTGCGAGCGCGTGCGCTTGTGTGTGTTTGTCCGCTTCGCTCTCTCTCTCTTCTCATCTCTCCTCTCTCTCTCTCTTCTCTCCTCCTCTCTATCGCTCTCTTCCTCGCTCGCTCGCGTTCGCTCTCTCCTCTCTCTCTCTCTCGTCTCTCTCCTCTCTCTCGTCTCTCGCATCTCCTCTCTCGTCTCTCTTCTCGTCGTCTCTTCGCTCTCGCTCTTTCTCTCTCTCTCGTGTATAGATACTAGATATATAGAAATATACTAGTATACTATATCTCTTTCTTGGCCTGCTTGCATGCGGCGTCCATGAGTACCGCGCACAATCATCCTTGCTGGTAGTGGCGGCGGCAGCGGCGCAGCCGGCGGCATCGGCGCAGCGGCGGCAGCGGCGGCGGCAAACGTATGCGGCACATTCATAACGTAACTTCTACCTCAATGCTAACATTTAATCGTCTATAGCTGCTGCTGCTACTGCTACTGCTGCTGCTGCTGCTGCTACTTCTGCTGCTGCTGCTACTATTGCTGCTGCCGCTGTCGCCGCCGCTGCTGCTGCTACTGCCGCCGCTGCTGCTGCCTGCTGCTGCTGCTAGTGGTGCTGCTGCTGCTGCCGATTCTGCTGCTGTTGCTGCTGCTGCTACTCCTGCTCTACTGCTGCTGCTGCTGCTGCTGATGATGATGATGCTGCCGCTGCTGCAGGTGCTGGTGCTGCTGCTGGTGCTGCTGCTGCTGCTGATGATGATGATGCTGCTGACGATGATGATGCTAGGGTGGTTAGCTGGAATCAATAGTCTACCCTCGTCCTCATTTGTTGTACGTGTTATATATCGTCTAATCTGTCACAGNCACACAGCATCCACGGACGTGTTGTTCGGGTGTGGTGAGGTGTGCGCGCGCGTGCGTGCGTGTGTGCGTGCTCGTGTGTGTGTGTGTGTGTGTGTGTGTGTGTGTGAGGTCGGGCATCTCAGCACAACAGCCTGAGAATGTAACTAATGACTAATGTAACGCTCGCTATACTAACGCGTGAAAATGATTATAGACTTTACTGGCCGGAGTTAGTGTCAGGGTCTGGGTTAGGGCTAGGGTTAGGGTTAGGGTTAGTGTTAGGATTGGGGTTAGGGTTAGGGTTAGGGTTAGGCGTAGGGTTAGGGTTAGGGCTAGAGTTAGGGCTAGGGCTAGAGTTAGGGTTAGGACTAGGGCTATAGTAATAGAGTAAGGGCGTAATAATAGAGTAGCTCACCACTGCAAGAATCCTCGATAAATACACACAGACATAGAAGGAACTCCAGGTCTCTCTATCGATATATATATATATATATATGTATATGTATATATATATATATACCGACAGATATATAGCTGACCGAGGAAATGATCTAGTACTTTCAAAATTACATCCTGCCTGCGCGTTATTTGATAAGACAACACGAGCGCATTCTATAGGTAATGCAATCTTCCACTCGATATCTCCCCTTATTATACGTACAACCCAGCTTACGTCACTTTTTTACAACATTTTACACTTTACGTCTGCGAGCGCGTCTATTGACATTCCACGCCACACGAGAGAGCGTGTCTACCGTGAATAGCTCTTTTTTTCTCTCTATATATTTTTTATACGCATTGCTTTGTTCGTTGAAGGGACTGTTTAAAAAAAAAAATATGTAGCGCGTTTTTACTGCAGCCCTGACAGTGTGTGCCATCGAAGAGTGTCATGCATTTTACAATGAGTGCGTGCGTGCGTGCGTGCGTGCGTGCGTGCGTGCGTGCGTGCGTGCGTGCGTGCGTGAGTGAATGCGCGAATGCGTTCGTTTGTGCGTGCGTGAATGCGCGAATGCGTGCGTGCGTGCGTGAATGCGTGCGTGCGTGCGTGCGTACATGGTTGGGTGGGGACAGATAACGGACCTGTACTGTACTGTATTTGTATTCATAGATAAATTTTTTAGATATTTTATATACGTATTCTTAGAGTTTCGGCGTAATTCGTGGAACCTATCATTAGAGGTAATAATTTGGAGTATAAATTATGCATATATGTATGTGTGTGTATATATATATATATATAATTTTGTGTCACATTCCAACTTTTGTATCGTATGTCACTCGTCTGTATTTTGCTCTGCATCTTGTACTGTATTTTTTATTGGTTTATTGATCAATGATGAGACTCTACTAGAGCTCAGGTGAAGCTGTGAGTAGTCACACTGAACCTCGCTCCGTCATATTATTATTCGTGACGTCATTGCTGACGCAATGTATGCACAGGAGAGCCGAAGCCAAGCCCCGTAGTTCCCGCAGTGTCCACGTGGTGGCGTGGCAGTACCGGACATCGATGCATGCGGTGTTTAATTTGCCGCTATTATGTGTGTGTGTGCGTGTGTGCGCGCGCGCGTGGCCAATGACAATCAATCATTCCGTAGACGTTTCCGTAGTTGTGTCGCCCCAGAGTCGCGCGGTTTATCGATGAACCTCTCGTCTGTTTCTGCGCGCGCGTGCGGCGTGCGTGCGTGCGTGTGCGG